CCCCCAGGTGCCCACCTGTGTTGTAGACGTGCAGCTCGTCCACGATGCCCTCGTTGCCCCCCCCGAAGACCACGATGAGCTCCTTGATGGCCACGGCGCGGTGGCCGTGCCGGGGCCGGGGCACGGGCCCAGCCCAGCCCACCACCCGCTTCCAGCGCGGCTGCAGCGCGGGGGCGCCCGGGGGGGCCCGCGGCGGGGACCCCCCCCCGCCCAGGCCTGCCATGCGTCCCCCGCTGCGGTCCTGGGGGGACACGGGGGGTGAGACACGGGGGACACCCCAAAAATCACCAAAATTAGCTGAAACCTCCCCAACTGCCTGTCCGGGGGGGACATGGGGAGTCAGACTTGGGGGACACCCCAAAAATCACCAAAATTAGCTGAAACCTCCCCCACTGCCTGTCCTGGGGGGACATGGGGAGTCAGACTTGGGGGACACCCCAAAAATCACCAAAATTAGCTGAAACCTCCCCCACTGATAGTGCTGGGGGGACACGGGGGGTGAGACAAGGGGGACACCCCAAAAATCACCCAAAATTATCTGAAACCTCCCCCACTGACAGTGACCACCCCCCGCTGTGGTCCTGGGGGGACATGGGGGGTGAGACATGGGGGACACCCCAAAAATGACCAAAATTAGCTGAAACCTCTCCCACTGATAGTGCTGGGGGGACACGGGGGGTGAGACACGGGGGACACCCCAAAAATCACACAAATTATCTGAAACCTCTCCCACTGACAGTGCTGGGGGGACATGGGGGGTCAGACACGGGGGACACCCCAAAAATCACCCAAATTATCTGAAACCTCCCCCACTGCCTGTCCTAGGGGGACACGGGGGGTGAGACACGGGGGACACCCCAAAAATCACCAAAATTAGCTGAAACCTCCCCCACTGATAGTGCTGGGGGGACATGGGGGGTCAGACACGGGGGACACCCCAAAAATCACTAAAATTATCTGACACCTCCCCCACTGCCTGTCCGGGGGGGACATGGGGGGTCAGACACGGGGGACACCCCAAAAATCACCCAAAATTATCTGACACCTCCCCCACTGACAGTGACCACCCCCCGCTGTGGTCCTGGGGGGACACGGGGGGGTGAGACGTGGGGGACACCCCAAAAATCACCAAAATTAGCTGAAACCTCCCCAACTGATAGTGCTGGGGGGACATGGAGGGTGAGACACGGGGGACACCCCAAAAATCACCCAAAATTAGCTGAAACCCTCACACTGACAGTGACCATCCCCCGCTGCGGTCCTGGGGGGACACGGGGGGTGAGATGTGGGGGACACCCCAAAAATCACCAGAATTAGCTGAAACCTCCCCCCTGCCTGTCCGGGGGGGACACGGGGGGGTCAGACACGGGGGACACCCCAAAAATCACCCAAAATTATCTGAAACCCTCACACTGACAGTGACCACCCCCACACTGCCTATCCTGGGGGAACATGGGGGGTGAGACGTGGGGGAGACCCCAAAAATCACCCAAATGTAATGGCACCCCAAAAATGAACTGCTCCCCCTCCCGCAACTGCCTGTCCTGGGGGGACATGGGGTGGTGAAATATGTGCGACACCCCAAAAATCACCCAAATTGACTGGCACCCCAAAAATTGATAAAATGAACTGACACCCCTAATTTCAGTCCTGGAAGGATAAGGGTGAAGTCAGATATGGGGGGACACCCCAAAAATCACCAAAATGTAACTGACACTTCCCCCCCCCCACCACTGCCTGTCCTGGGGGGGACATGGGGAGGAGTGAGATATTGGGGGACACCCCAAAAATTACCTGACACCCCAAAAATCACTGAAAGTACCTGCCCCCCCCACACACACTGCCTGTCCTGGGGGCAGGGTGTGTGCCAGATTTGGGGGATGCCCCAGAAATCCCCAAAACAACCTGCCCCCCCACCCCAGGTACTGGGGCTAGTCAGGGGGTGGGGGATACCCCAAAAATGACCTGACACCCCCCTCCCCCCCACCCGTCCTGGGGGGGAGACACCACAAAACCCCCCCAAAATGACCTGACCACAGCCCTGCTGCCTGTCCTTTGGGGTTTGGACACCCCAAAATCAATGACCTGAAACCCCCCTACGACGGTCGGGGGGGGGTCTGGATGTGAGGGTCACCCCAAAAAACCCCCCAAATTAACACTAACCCCCCACCCCCACCCAAAGGGGGGCTTGGATATACAGACCCCCCCCCCCCATGGCATTTCTCTGGGGGGGGTGTCCCCAAATCTGGGGGTCAATCCCCTTCTGCACCCCCCCAAAAATCTCCAGGGTCACCTCCGACCCCTCCCCACAAATACCCCAAGGGCTTGACACGCCCTCCCCCCTCACAAATCCCTCGTAGAATGTTTAATTACACCCCCCCACCGCAATTACACCGAAAGAGTTAATTACCCCCCCCAGAGCGGGGGGTGTGACAATGGGGGAGGAGTCCACTTGAGGGGGAGGGGAGCATTTATTCCTCCCCGTTAATTAATTTCTTCATTATGCCTCCTCTTAATTACCCCT